TGAGGGGCCGATCGTGATGCACAAGACGTTCGTCGCCACCCTGGAAGGGATGGACGAGCTGAACGTGAGCTGGGTATGATGGCGCTGAGGGGCCGATCATACTGCATAAGACGGTCGTCGCCATCCTGGAGGGAATGGGCGAGCCGAACCGTGAATTGGGTATGATGGCGCTGAGGGGCCGATCATACTGCATAAGACGGTCGTCGCCATCCTGGAAGGAATGGGCGAGCCGAACCGTGAACTGGACACGATGGCGATGAGGGGCCGATCGTGATGCACAAGACGTTCGTCGCCACCCTGGAAGGGATGGACGAGCGGAACGTGAGCTGGGTATGATGGCGCTGAGGGGCCGATCATACTGCATAAGACGGTCGTCGCCATCCTGGAGGGAATGGGCGAGCCGAACCGTGAACTGGACACGATGGCGATGAGGGGCCGATCGTGATGCACAAGACGTTCGTCGCCACCCTGGAAGGGATGGACGAGCGGAACGTGAGCTGGGTACGATGGCGTTGAGGGGCCGATCGTACTGCATAAGACGGTCGTCGCCATCCTGGAGGGAATGGGCGAGCTGAACGTGAGCTGGGTATGATGGCGCTGAGGGGCCGATCATACTGCATAAGACGGTCGTCGCCATCCTGGAGGGAATGGGCGAGCCGAACCGTGAACTGGGTATGATGGCGCTGAGGGGCCGATCATACTGCATAAGACGGTCGTCGCCATCCTGGAGGGAATGGGCGAGCCGAACCGTGAACTGAACACGATGGCGCTGAGGGGCCGATCGTGATGCATAAGACGTTCGTCGCCACCCTAGAAAGGAATGGGCGAGCCGAACCGTGAACTGGACACGATGGCGCTGAGGGGCCGATCGTGATGCACAAGACGTTCGTCGCCACCCTGGAAGGGATGGACGAGCTGAACGTGAGCTGGGTTTGATGGCGCTGAGGGGCCGATCGTACTGCATAAGACGGTCGTCGCCATCCTGGAGGGAATGGGCGAGCCGAACCGTGAACTGGACACGATGGCGCTGAGGGGCCGATCGTGATGCATAAGACGTTCGTCGCCACCCTGGAAGGGATGGACGAGCTGAACGTGAGTTGGGTACGATGGCGCTGAGGGGCCGATCGTACTGCATAAGACGGTCGTCGGCTCGTCGCCATCCTGGAGGGAATGGGCGAGCCGAACCGTGAACTGGACACGATGGCGCTGAGGGGCCGATCGTGATGAACAAGACGTTCGCCGCCACCCTGGAAGGGATGGACGAGCTGAACGTGAGCTGGGTATGATGGCGCTGAGGGGCCGATCATACTGCATAAGACGGTCGTCGCCATCCTGGAGGGAATGGGCGAGTCGAACCGTGAACTGGACACGATGGCGCTGAGGGGCCGATCGTGATGCATAAGACGTTCGTCGCCACCCTGGAAGGGATGGACGAGCTGAACGTGAGCTGGGTACGATGGCGCTGAGGGGCCGATCGTACTGCATAAGACGGTCGTCGCCATCCTGGAGGGAATGGGGGAGCCGAACCGTGAGTCTGGACACGATGGCGCTGAGTGGACGATCGTGATACAGAAAAATAGTGATGATCATCTCATGGCCCTCGGCCTGTCGGTGAGCGATAATCGTCTCACGGCCCTCGGCCGTGCTGGTGATGTGTCAACTCTCTCTCCTGATTGGCTGTGAGAAGTCGGTCGTCTGCCAGGGCTCCATCCGGGAAGGAATGGTGAGCCCGAAATAAATCTGGGCGATGTCCCTCCTACCTGATCTGGGGAGCTAATCGTCGTTCGTCTACCGTATCCGTGGTCCTATGTACGGACCGCTAAGCGGTGTACACTCGATACGCAACAGATTCCGGTGGAGAACTGGTCCTTCGTGTCTGATCCATGGAGTGGTCTTCGTTCGTCTACCGTATCCGTGGTCCTATGTATGGACCGCTAAGCGGTGTACACTCGGCACGCAACAGACTCCGGTAAAGAACTGGTTCTTCATGTCGGATCCATGGAGCTGGTCTTCGTTCGTCTACCGTATCCGTGGTCCTATGTATGGACCGCTAAGCGGTGTACACTCGGCACGCAACAGACTCCGGTAAAGAACTGATTCTTCGTTCTTCCCAAGTCTTGTGAGTACTGGTCTCCTGGTTTCGCAGGAGACGTTCGTCATCCCAACTATGAGAAAAAACAGGTTTATCCACGTCGGGATTCCCTATCTCTGTTCGTCCCCAGTCGTGAGTTACTAGTCTTCTGGCTTCGCATAAGACGTTCGTCATCCGTTCATAAGGGGGAGGAACCGGTACACCCTGTCAGGGTTCCCGTTTCTTCGTTCGTCCCTGTCGTGATCCTACTAACCTTCTTCCCTCGAAGAAGACGTTCGGTCATTCACCGATCGCAAGGAGGAACTGGTTTACCCTATCGCGGGTTCCCTGCTTCGTCGTCCCATGCTCGTGGCCCTACTAGCCTTCTGCTTTGGCAGAAGGTGTTCATCGATCCACGGGAAATGGGAGGAACTGGTTTATCCTGCCGAGGTTCCCTTTGGTACGTCTAGCCTCCCCCACGTTCCTACTAACCTCCGCGTCGGGAGACGTTCGTCATACGCGGCGAAGGAAGATCAGGCATACCTCGTCAAGACTCCCTCTCTCATAGGATCTCATCTCCCCTTCTCCCCATCTTTTTTTTTCTTTTTTGAGGGAGGAAAATACGTTCATCAGTCCTAAGAATGACCACAAGTGATGTCACACATAATGGTGGTGGGATATCAAAATGAATAGAATGACGAGGCGGTGGAAATGCTGGTCGTCATGCGAAGGCGATGGTCACCCTCCTGAAGGGAGGGGTGAGCCCGATCGCTAACTCAAGAAGGTCGGCATTGGGAGCCGATATACAATGATCATAATGTCGCTGAGCAGTCGGTCCTGATAATGGAGATGGCAATAGTGTCTAGTTAGGCCGATATATCCGAGCAACGGCTCTCATCCAACGCAGCGCGGGGATGAAACCGGTCTTCAAAAGATAAATATGTCGTGCTGAGAGGCCGAACATAACATGATAGTGTCAGCAGTGAGAGGCCGACCTGAAAGAATCAAACAACGGTCCTCGTCCGCGGGGTGGCGGGGACGAGGCCGGTCTTCAAAAGATAAGCACGCCGAGCCGAGAGGCCGATCGTGGTATAATGGTGTCGGCAATGAGCGGCCGATATGAAAGAATCAAACAACGGTCCTCGTCCGCGGGGTGGCGGGGACGAGGCCGGTCTTCAAAAGATAAGCACGCCGAGCCGAGAGGCCGGTCGTGGTATAATGGTGTCGGCAATGAGCGGCCGATCTGAGAGAATCAAGCAACGGTCCTCGTCCGCAAGGGCGGGGACGAGGCCGGTCTTCAAAGATGATAATCACGCCAGGCCGGGGGGCCGAACATGATATGATGGTGTCGGCAATGAGCGGCCGATCTGAGAAAATCAAGCAACGGTCCTCGTCCGCGAGGGCGGGGACGAGGCCAGTCTTCAAAGATGATAATCACGCCAGGCCGGGGGGCCGAACATGATATGACAGTGTCGGCAATGAGAGGCCAATCAAAAAAAAAAATCAAGCAATGGTCCTCGTCCGCGAGGGCGGGGACGAGGCCGGTCTTCAAAAGATAGGCACGCCGAGCCGAGAGGCCGGTCGTGGTATAATGATGTCGGCGATGAGAGGCCGACTTGAAAATCAGGATGGTCTCACGGCCCTCGGCCGTGATAGTCTCCTCTAGGCCCTCGACCTCTGAATGATGGATGATCGTCTCACGGTCCTCCGCCGTGGTAGTCCACTCTAGACCCTCGGCCTCTAGGTGTTCTCTCCTAGGCCATCGGTCTCTGGGGTGGAGATGCTCGTCTCACGGTCCTCAGCCGTGATGGTCTCCTCTTTAGCTGGCCCTGAACGTCTTCAAGACTCAGCCGAGCGTCTTTTAATCATTTCGCTCGAGCGCGTCGAGTGATTTCAGCTGCGCAATAAGCATGGTAACAGCCGCACGGCTCGACAATAAATATGCACACATAACCGTCTGCATGGTGGAGTCTTTAACATCCACGATTACCGGCCTATGTGTCATCGTGACCCTCGGCCCGGCTCATCGTGCGGGGTTAATGGACGTAGCAGCTCGCGGCGGGGCCAATTAGCAGCCCGCCGAACGTCACATAGAGATAATCACCGGTCTGTGAGTTTGAAAACTCAGACCCAAGTTGGTCGCACTGTCCTCGAAAAAACGAGGTTGAGCGCTTCGGTGCCCTCGGGCCCCACAGGCCGCGTTTGGCACAGTCACTTCGCCTAGTGGCGCAGGTGGTACTGGGGTACTATCGTCGCTCGAGCACTTGGTGCCGTGCGGACTATTGCGTAACCCCCAAATTAGAACGCGTCATCGGGACACTACCCTCTAGAGACGCTCAGATCGCTAATCAAAGCCGATCGAGAGTGGGCTAATCGAACCCCCCAACAATTAAATATTTAATAAAAAAGTTGGCTGAACTAATTATCACTAGAGCTTCGCTCTGCATTATTTAATCTCGGGACATTTTTATCCCTAATAAATAATAGTGATGTAACAGGCAATAATTCTGATATCATCCTATCACAGGTCATTCAGACACGCTCCGTTTGCTAATTAAAGCCAAACAGGAGTGGGCCCATAGGCTCACAACAACCAGTCGTTAATTTTAATGACGGTGGAATTAATTATCACCAGAGCTTTACTCGTCTGAGCTTTTCTCGACATTATTTATTTTCGGGGTATTTAACCCCTGTTAAGTAATGGTGATGGTCAGCAAAAGCATTTATGATCGCATTATGGAGCATTTTAATTAAAGAGCAGGAGTAAGAGCACTTAGCTCTAAGAATAGATGTTCGGCCAGTTGGAATTTCTGGAATTAATCTGGTTCTTTTAGCAAAGTTGACTTAGTCAAGATATTGCCAAACTTATCCATCCGTCACCATTCATCCTACCCATGTGGCCTTATGAGGACCAAGGCTTTTGAGCGATCTGCAACACTCCGAACCTTTTGGAAAGAAAGTTGAAGCATCCGCTCACCACCCCAAGGCCAAACGTCGGAGGTACCGGCACCTGATTAGAGGTCGAGCTGCGACGGAGAAAGTGCCGGCGTCAGGCGACGGTGCTGCAGCGGTAGTAGAGAGGCGAGCCGGGACCGGCGAAGAAGCAGAGCGTCTGCGGCGGAGGAGTGGGCTGTCAGGGTCCGATTTTCTTCCTCCTCCATCTCCCCTGGGTGTTATTCCGCCCTTGCAGATCGCCAAGAGCCACTGGGTTCGTGGGGTTTGGTTTAAACGGACCTGGGAGTTGCCAGTGATGGGTGCGGCACCGGGCGAGTCCCGAAGAAAGGTGAACGCTCCGGTCGGCGGCGGCGGCGTGGACCATCAGCGGTGTAACGAAACCTGGGGCGTCGTGGTGACCTTCTACCATATTCAGCGAACTCCAGCGGAACAGTCAGCTCCAGACGATACACGGCCGCAGGAGGTGACAGACGCTTCCAGCTTAAGCCAGGGAGAAACCCAGATTCCTCCATTTTTCTTCCTTCTTCCTCAAAATTAGTTGTTTCCGGTATGAAATTTTATGTAGAAACTCAAGAATAGTATAAACACATGAATTTTTTTGGACAGATTCCCACAGAGGGCGCCAGTGTTGAGTTTAATCCAACACGAAATAGTAAATATATGTATAAATGTGTATGAACAAGCTATTTTTACGTGGAAACCCGAAAGGGAGAAAACTACGGGACTTTTTAGGCTAATGTCCAAGCCCTCTCTTTCTCATTAGGACTCTCCTCACCATTACATTGTACAAGCTCCCATTAATGAAGTATCTGAGCTATTCTAGAGGGAGAAGGAAGAAGGAAAGGATCAAAAAAGGAATCCTTTACATGGAGGGAAAGACTCCTATAAATAGGGAAAGGGGTGAGGGAAGTACTCCACCCTAATGGACCAAACGGGCCGATGTCGGGCCTAATGGCCAAAATGGACCTAGCTGCTCGGGCTCCGTACTGGATAATGTCTTGGTCTCCTGAACAGTAATAGGCCGAGATAATATATCCCAACATAATTATATATGTATGGTCAATCTTTTATTTGTATTTGATATCAATACTGATTACTCGTATTTAATTTCTTTCCTTTATTTGTACTTTCAATGATATTATAATCTCATTAAATTGGTAAAGTAATCAAAATTTAAAATTCAAAATGTTGAATGTCAAATACGAACAATCTAAAAATGTCAAATTTAATGACAATCTATTTGCTCTACTCAAAAGTAATATCAAAATTTAGTAATTGCACTACTTTATTATTAACTAAGTAGATATTTTCTTGATATGCGTAGAATATTATGGAGTCTTCTATAATATTCTAGTCTCTAGAGAAATGTGAGAATTTCTACAAAAGTTCAGAAAATTGTAGACTTGTCTCGACTATTTTAATAAGTGTGGATTGTGGAGTCATCTAGATTTTTCCAGAAGCTCATGGAAGCTTGTGGAGACTTTTTGAAAGAATCTAGAATCTAGAAGTGTGTGAAAGATTTTAGAGAAAACCAATCTTTAGACCTTTGTGAGTAGTATGAATAGACGTTGAAGCCTTTAAAAAGAGGTAAGGAAGAAAGACTTCTCATAATAAAGAGTGGAGTATATCCCAACTAGAAAGAGTGAATTTAGTTACCCATTCACTCATACGATAGTATAATCTATCTTGTACATTTGGTTATATAGTACAAAGTTTTTGTATCTCATGGGGTGAATTGAGGCCTAGGTTGGTTGATCCCTAATTCCGTCACTGACGTAAATCTTCCACTCGTGATGCCGAAAGATGTCTGGATATGTTTCCCCAACAGATATTACTCAAGGTGTAGGGATAAATAGGTTAATTCTTTCAACAGAAATTAAACTTTTGCTAGATCTTTTGGACAAAACACAGCAAGGTGAGACTTGTTTTACAAAAAAGACCTATGGTTTACACAAAATTTGTAACTAATACTACCTCCGTCCCACTATGTTTGGGACAAAGGTATGCGGTACAACTTTTAAGAAAAAGTAGAATTGCGTGGTTATTATTGAATTGATAAAGTGTCAATAAAGTAAGAATGAATTGTAATCGCCCAAATATTATCAAATATGGTATGAGACAAACATAATGGGACGGACGAAAAGGTTAAACGGGACAAAGTTAGGGGACGAGTATATTTCAATTCTCCGGTTGTCCCAGTGACATTGATGCAAAAAAAGAAGCTAGGTAAGCGACTAACAATTCCGAATTTCTGATAAACCGATAATAACAAAACGAGAAACAATATGGAATAAAATTAATTCTCTACTTAATAGAGAAGCTAATGATATTTGTACAGTTTATGCAACTTACTAATTTCTAAAATAAAATACTCGTACTGATTAAGATCCACTAATAATGTCTTTGGAACCATTAGTTTGGTTGCTAAATTGACCACCTTGACCCTCCGGTCGAGTCACGAGAATTACATTTGGAGTCTTTACTCTAAATCTTTGAAGCTTAAACCTCCTGGGTGAGCCGAGACTCAAACTTCTTTGCACAACCCGACTTTTCCTTTCTTTTCTTTGCCTTTTCATCTCCTCAAGCCTTTCAAGGACATGTAAGGACTCATCATAAATATCTGGAAAATTTTTCATGAGAAAATCTTTGCTCTTTGCCACAACTTCTTTGTATGCTGGAATATCATGTTTATGATCTTCATGGAGTTCTTGCCCCAAAGCATGGTTATGATTCTTCTGGGTAAACATTGAGATGAGATGAGGCCTCCAAGTTCCAACTGGCTGGACTTTTTGTAACTTTGAAAATTAAAGCCTTAAACTTCTGGGAGTATTCTGTCAAAGGAAAATATATGGTGTATTTGTTTAGCACAGATTTGGGTGAACTAGATAGATGATTAATGATTATTGTAGTTCTATGTGGACATGTCACATGTATTTATAAGTCTTCCAAAGAGGTTCTGAATGAAGTTGTAAACTTGCTGGGAAAGTAAAATGGCAAAGGAATCGAATTTGTTTGGCTCAGTCAGAGAGAATGAGACAACACGTTAATTGAACAGAAGAATCCTTCTTTAGACATTCGCATTACTTTTGCACTTTTTGGGCCAATCTTTAAAAATTTTGACAATTAATTATTCATAATTTACATTATTTTATGCTACAAAATTAATTTTATATACTTCACTGGAATGTATATTAATCAAACATTAATTTATATCAAATTTTACTCCCTCCGTCCCGAAAAAGTTGACCAAAGTTGACTTTCCCGTGAGTTAATAAAGTAAAAACTATGTTGTTGAAATTTATGCAGAGGAGAGAGAATTAACTTTAGCCATATATTCCTTTAAATGGAAATGACAAATCTTTTGGGACATCCAAATAAGGAAATTCGGTCAACCTTTTCAGAACGGAGAGAGTATAAGTATAAATTTTTATATATTTAGGGTCTAACGTTCACCTAGAAGATCATAAAAGTCAAATCGGGAACTTAATTGGGGGATGGGGGGAGTAAAATCAGTAAATAGTACGCAATAGGTGACAAATTAGTTATATTTTGCTCTTAGAATTTATATACTAATATGTACTACTTCCGTAACAAAAAGATCTTTCCACTTTCATTTTTCATTCGTAACAAAAAGATCTTCATATCATACCCTCATTAATTTTGAAAGTAATACACTATTACAAGTTTACAATTACTTTTTTTTTAAATTTATCCTTCATTTCATTACTTTTTCATCATACCCTCAATAATTTTTTTCCATATTGTCTGTATAGCATTAATTTCAACATTGCAATTTATACACTATTCATGTCCTCTACTTTGACTACACTTTATTTAATAAATAATGTGAATTATTTTTTTTTTGAAAATATGGTTGAATTCGTCTCATTATTAAGTTTCATAATCTGATTTTTAATTATTTTTTTACTAATACATAATTAGATATAATGACTGATAAATCCGTATTTAGACACGCATTTGATGCGTGTTCGGGTCGGATTTTGATGGGTTTCCTGACTTTAAGGCATTGCAAGTCTCAATTTTGGCTCAAGTTGTGTTTAGCAGGCGTTGGATTGAGTTTCATTGCATTTGGAGTTGATTTGAAGAAGTTGGAGTCCGGCAATCGGCGCTTGAGAGACATTCTGGAAGGATTTGAAGGCATTCGAGAAAGATTTGGAAGATTTGGAGGCCACCGGGAGATTCACGACGGGACCGGGAGATTCACGACGGAATTCTGGTGAAGAAAGAGCATTTGGATCGACCTTGTAGGCAATCGGGAGCTTTTGGAGCAAGAATCGAAGAAAAATGATGAAGAAAAGACCAGGCACGACCGTGCCTGGACAAGACGGAGGCGCGGAGCTATTGGCAGCCAGACACTATCGTGTACGGTGCAGGCACGATCGTGTCTGCGATCTTAACGCGCGATTTACTCCGTAGGCACGATCCCAGACACGATCGTGCCTAGCATCGTGTCTGGCCCCGATTTGTCCTATTTCAGCTCAAATTCTCATGTTTTCTATAAATAAGGCCTCCATACCCACTTTTGAGGGTTACGAACATTACGGAGAGGCCTAGGGACGAATTTAACATCGTTTTTACTCTATTTTCTTCCAAGAACCTGAGATTCTTTGTAAGTTCAATTCTTTAATTAATGACAATTTATTCTATTCATCCCAATTCTTTTGATTCGTCAATTATGAGGCGTGAGTAGTTTAATTAGGGATTTGGGGTTGATGAAGGGGTTAATCATGATTGATGGCTAGATTCTCGTCGGTTTAATTGCATGAATGCCGTTTAATTTGTGTTTGAATAATTTAACTGACATCTCTTGTAACCTAGACTGCAGCTAGAATTACAATTGCATGTAGAATGAATTAAGAGAGATCTAATTTGTTCTAGGACACATTCACACACACCTAATCGTTCGCTAAGAGATTAGTAGCGATTAAGGGGCCGTAAGCTCGCTCGTTTTGGCAATAATTTAGGATCTTGTCGCATGAGAGATCAGCCTGTACCCTTAAATTATTGTACTCTTCACCGCGAGAGCGGTAAGAACTTAGTAATGATTAGCTAGACTCAATTAAATTAAATTCATGTGATTAGGCCTGTTCTGCCAGAAATCTGGTTAACCCCAGAATCAATTCATGTTCCCTTCGTCGTTAATTAAGGAAAACCAAATCTTTTTACCTGCTCCATAGCATTAGTTTTATTTCAATCAATCAACCAATCTCGCACAATTGCACTTTTATTTTATTTATTTCTTTTTAATCGCTAAGTTTAGTTAATCTTTATTTCCCTTTAATTTTTATTTCCCTTTTGTCCGTCCATGTGGAGACGATACTCGTACTTTTCAACACTTTTCTACAACCATTTTAAGTGCGAGAAAACACTCATCAATGACGGTCAAAGTTGTGTGTTGGCAAACATGAAAAAAAGGAATGTTGCAACTAAAAAAGAATATTTTCTTTCACCATTCTTAATATACTTACTTTCAAAATGGAAATATCTTGTTGTTACTGATGGAGTAATATGTACCTCAGTAGAAGTGTGCGGGACAGATTTTAGAGAAAGCCAATATGTAGCGAGTAGTATAAATCTTTATTTATATACAAAAACTGGACCTATGTCCCAAACCTGTTCCCGCCCTGCTATAACTTGCGATTAACGTGTCCACTTTTTTCGGGAAATTCCAGAGATCAGAATTATGCGGCGAATAAATTATTGACTCCAATGGATTTTGTGGAGTTACCGGAGTACGTGCTGTAACTTCCACCTGACAGTTTTGAATGACAACATGTAGTTAACCTACCTGCTCATAGACCAATTTAAATCATCCATTATCCCACATGTTTAATGGTTATGTCTTCCCAAATCCGATTATGTCTCTTCCCAAATTAGCCCATGTCACTTTACATGGGCTAATTTTCATGTCAAAATTTCGACCTCTGATCTGTCCAAAGTCGGTGCGACTGTGGTGGTTCAAACTTTGTTGAGGCAGGGTCCAATGTGTGAGAATTATGGGAAGGCTTACCAATGTGGTAGCCCTGAATGTCATATATATAATAAAGGAGTATCCAAAATACAATAGGAAACTAATGAAATATGGAAAGCTAATTAATGCTAATTAATATTCTATTACACCCCCTCAATCTGTGCAGGGGATACAACGCGCAGATTGTCTCTAAGAAAAATAAATCGCTGCGGAGACAGACACTTGGTGAAGATATCTGCAATCTGATGCTGCGTAGGTACATGATGAACAACTAAATCTCCATGTGATACTCGTTCACGAACAAAATGATAATCAATGTCAATGTGTTTGCTACGTGCATGCTGAATGGGATTAGTAGATAAATATGAAGCAGAGACATTGTCACATAACAATCGAACAGGACTGCGGATGGGTACCCCTAACTCGAAAAGTATGGACCGGATATGCAACGTATCCTGAACTGTGTAAGCAATGGCCCTGTATTCAGCTTCAGTAGAGGATCGAGATACAGTGGGCTGCTTTTTGGACTTCCAGGAAATCAAGTTTGGACCCAAGAAAATAGCAAAACCAGACGTGGAGCGGCTACTATCAGGACATCCTGCCCAATCAGCATCAGAATAAGCCTGAATAGTTGGAGATGACCGATCCGGCTGGAGAAGGAGACCATGATCTGGAGTGCCTTGGAGGTACCTGAAAATCCGCTTAACAGCCAAAATATGGGAAGTACGGGGAGCATGCATAAATTGGGAAACCAAGTGAACAGCAAATGTAATATCAGGTCGAGTCATGGTCAAATACTGTAGAGCACCTACCATACTTCTGTACTCCGTAGGATCTGCAAGAAGTTCACCATCAGTGAGAGATAACTTAGTTCTAGAAGGAAGAGGTGTACGAACAGGTTTAAGAGTATGAAGATGAAACTTTGTTAACAGATCAGACACATATTTTTGCTGAGACAGAAATAATCCTTTAGTAACACGATTAGCTTGGACACCCAGGAAAAAATGTAAATCCCCTAAATCCTTCATAGCAAAGTAACGGCCAAGGCACGTAATAAAGGAAGAGATAAAGGAAGGGGAATTACCAGTGATAATAATATCATCCACATAAAGAAGTAGATGTTTATGCAAAGTTTGGATGATTCTTTCTATCAACTAATATGAAAATTGGGGACTCGCACAAGAAGTAATCAAGAAAAATAAACGAATCTGAATATACGGAAGAATGAGAATTTAACGAGGATTTGTTCTTAGCCAAAGCAATTAGTGTGATCTAGTTCGAATGAATGCTTCCTTTACAATGTATTTTCTTTAAATAGGACTTTCTCTCCCTTATCTACGAATTAACTGTCCACCAAAATAGCAGGGGTTGATGGACGTGACTAGCTATTCTTTTGCTCCAAGTTTTGAATAATCATGCATCTCTCCACTTCTCAGCAACGGTTCATTAGACCTTGACTTCGTCGGGCTGAAGTCTTCTTCCCTTGCTGGGTTTATTTACAAGTCCTCGCCAGATGGGCTGAACATCCATTAAATCCATCATCCCCCACGGGCTAGTGCATAAGTTTAATTAACCTACCATGGGCCTTGCTACTGGATGAATTTCCCTTGGCCCAACAATTGCCCCCAATTCGATGGGGCTGTTGGTGCCTACATATACGTACCACTCGCCCAACTGCCACTTCGAATTTGAAATCAAACCGTCTTGGAAGTTGTGCGGCCGACTGCTTTTTCAGACTCATAATCACTTTCGTGGGGTTGCTCGCCATTCAACTTCTCCCTCTTTACGAAAACCACTCCTTTCCTTTCTTCCTTCTGCAACCAACTTATCAGCGTCCATGGCTTCTCAAGGCTTCATTCCGCAATTCATTCTAGAGCCCAAAAGCGCAAAACAGGCGAA